TCAGTCCGCGAGGCTGGCAGGGCAGCTACCTGCAGCGTTCGCAGACTCAGTCTGCGAGGCTGACAGGACAGCTACCTGCAGGGCTCGCAGACTCAGTCCGCGAGGCTGACAGGGCAGCTACCTGCAGTGCTCGCAGACTCAGTCCGCGAGCTGCTGCTGGGAGCTGCAGTGCCTCTGCAGTCCACAAGCTCTATCTCCCATGGGCCTCTTAGAGAACTGTTCCTATGACATGAGGGTGGCATCCCTCAGCCGTAGGGACAGCTCCCTAGGGATGGTCTGTCCCTGGGGATGTCCCTACCTTTCAACCCTAGAGCAACCCTGGAGCAGATGTTTCGTCCTCATAACCTTTCAAAATACTACGCAGACCTGAAGAGCATAAAATGCGAAACGGGTAGAGGCTTAGTTCCCCAGAGAACTAGCCCGTTGTCTGCTAGTTTCGCTAACTCTAGTCACTCTCCGACTCGCTGCGCTCGTCGTCGAGTGCCTCCCTAACCCTAACCCTGTATACGGGTCGAGACTCCCTCGAGACTTAGGTATACTTCAGGTTTTGTTTTGTCTTCAGGTATGGTACTGTTGAAATTACATGAATGAATTCTACTCTACATTACATACAAGTATACTACTGCCTCGGACGTACCATATGTGCGACAGCGTGCGCCCGCAAGCGGGTTTCGGTGTTGGTGGGTGACGAAAAAATAGACAAAACAAATCACAAGAAAATAACGACGCAAGCGCGCTTGGAGGCGCTTGCTGCGTCGCGTTCCTACCGTCCATGGGACCCAGGATCACCCGCTATTGAGGCGGCGCGATCAATTTGGATGTCGGCGCGAAGGTCGGCGTCGGGGAGGGCGACGGCGGCGACGGCGGCGGCGGCAGCGGTCAGGAATGCGAACAGCGGTGGGAGGCAGTCGGTATGGGTGGTAGGGACACGACTCTGTCCAGACGCGCGGGTTCGCGCGCTCTCCGGGGCCGGCGAGAGGGGGATACAGGGCAGGGTAGGTGGAGGGGGAGAAACAATTCAAGAGAATATTAGAGACTCACACGAAGTAAACGACGCATAGTGCGTCATGTTCCTGTACTCCAGAGGAGTCAGGAACACCAATCATGGGTGCGGAGCGTTGAGTTTGGATGTCGGCGCGAAGGGCGCCATCGGGGAGGGCGACGGCGGCGGAAACGGCAGCAGCGGCGGTCGAGGCAGTGGGCGGCGGCCACTCGCGCTGCCCACAGGGTATAGGGGATGGGGGATGTCAGTTGAGGGAGGTGGCGGAGTCGTGCGGGGTCGGCGAGAGGTCGGGAGTGAGCAGGTTGGGAGGAGGGTACAAAAGATGAAATACAACGTCGACGAGGGCGAACGATTACTTCGTTCGCCTGTCGCCGACGTCCTGGCACTCATAGGTGCCAGGAATGGCCGCTTGCCCGTAGGGAAACGGCCGGGGGAAGCGGGAAGGGAGGGGTAGGGGATGAGTGGAGAGGAAACACAAATTCGAAGGTTATGGCAGAACGGGTGCACAGATCTGTGCACCCCTTTCTGCCACACCTTCCTGAGGTAATCCCCAGACGTATTCAACATCGAACACCAAAACGCGGGCGCGTTCTGATGTTCGACGTCGAACGACGCGCGCGGGGCGACGGCGGCGTCGACGGCGTCGACGCTCGTCCTACAGCTCACAACAAACCTCCTCACGCTGGTGTAGCATTAGGAGGTTCGTTTGGGCCCGAAGACGCATCACTAGCGTCCCCGGGCCCGCCGCGAAGTGAGGTTGTAGGGAGGGGGGGGTGACCCCTTGTAGAATCGAGAATAACTCGACGACGAGACCACGCGCTGCTGTCGTGCGGGTCTCGTCGTCGTCCTGACTCCATAAGGGGTCAGGAAATGGCCTCCCATCCGAAGATGTGAGGCCGGGGAAGCGGGGAGGAAGGGGGAGGAGGAGGGCATTGAAAAACAGAAAAAACGAAATAAAAGAAGAACGGCACCGCAGATTTGCGCGGTGCCGGTGTTGCTCGCTTCCTAGGGTCGAGGTGAGTCGGGAATAACATCGAAACGCAGAACGCGGCGGCGTTCTGCGTTCCGATGTCGGGAGGAGGGGTAGTCGAGCGGCGGCGCGTACAGCGGGTCTTGAGCGGTCGGGACAGCGCGGATTCGTCCAAGATACGATGGACAACCTCTTAGAAGGTTGTCCACCTGAAAAATAACATAAACGAGCCAGCATGACCCGCCCGCGCATGGGCGCGAGGCGGACATGCCAGCCCAAGCATCAAAAGATAAAAACATCGAAAATAAGCAAATTTACTTACTTTTTACCCTTGTCCTCATCTCCACATCCCTCCTGCATTCGAGTCCCCCACCCTTTTGGTTTATCCAGGGCGCCAGCGAGTGGCGGCAATGTCGAGCGAGGCGGCGAGAGCAACTAATGAGCGAGACGCGGACTTCGCGTCTCGCGCGTTTCCGGTGGTAGGCGCTCGTTGCGGAGCTGCTTCGGACGGCTCTAAAAGGTGACATAGGGTCAATAGAAAATGTATCTGGGGGTTTTCATACCCGCCCGATACAATGAGACACTCACCGGAGCCCCATAAGGTGGGCATCAGTGAGCGCGAGCATTTCAGACTCGAATGACTCGCGCCACAATCGGCACGTGGCTGCCTCGCCACTTCGGGCAAGCGACTCCTTGGTCTTTCGGCTTAGGGATTTCTTCCTAATAATTTAGTGCTTACCTAGCAATGTCTGTAACTCCTTCTACTGATCCTGGTTCTGTCTCTGCTCATCCTACTCAATCAATTGCCTTCTTGT